TAGCTGATCAATTTCATTATTACCTTGTGCCAGAGGGCCTGGCAGACGCATATGGGATCTTATGTGTGTTTTATACAGTGGGTAACTCCTACTCCTGATCATTGGTTGTAGCTGAATAAACAGTGAAGTCAGCTCAGAATCATCCAGAAGAAGTTCAGCAGTCTCTATGTGCAAAACAACCTTTTCTGCATGTTGAGAGTCAGTTACTATATTAAGAGATCCTTGAAAATCTACCAACACCATGAGTATTGCATATAATTCAGAGTTTTGAATTGACTTATAAGGACTCTCAGCCACCTTAATTACATCTCCTGATTTGTAGCCTGCCTTTCCTGATTTATTAGCATCAGTGTAAAATGAAGGGGCTCCAGAAACTGAAATTCACTTTATTATATGAGGGAGAATCCAATTAGTTCTTTTTATGAACTGAAGTTGCTTGCTTTTAGGGTATCTGTTGTTAACCTCTCCCAAGAAGTTACTGCATGCTCTTTGCCAAAGTTCATCCTGTGCCCATAACAAGGGCACCTCTGCATTAGTAAAAGACATCACAATCTCAGCTGGGTCCATCCCAGCTAACTGTCCACGTCTCTGTTTTCCTTTTAGTATCAATTCAGAGACCTTCTCTATGTAGGTTTTTATTTCTCACTCTGTTTGTGTGCTAAAAATATCCGTTCTAGGATATAATCTTCCCTCTGCATGAAAATTCCTGTAGGCGGTTGAGTAGAAGGTAAGATGACTAAGATGCAGGCCATCTTTGGGTCAATATGATCCAGATGTGTATCCTGTCGTTTCCTTTCTACCAGAGCTAACTCCTTCTCAGCCTTGGCTCATAATCTCCTCAGGATGTTTAAATCTTTATCGCCTTGTAAGGTTTGAAGTGAATTGCTCAGCTCTGGAGTGGCCAAGCCAGTCGCAGCCAGTTGATATCTCCCAGTAGTTTCTGGAGATCATTAAGGGGTCCTCAATTGGTCTCTTCTGATTTGCACCATTTGTGGCAAAACCTTTCATACGCTTATTCTATATTTTAGATAATTAATAAAGTCCCCTCTTTGTATTTATTCAGGGGTAATTTGCAATCCCCAGC